TCTATTTACAGTAACATTTAAAATACCTAGGAACAAATGTAACCAAGGAGGTGAAAGACTTGGATAGTGATTCTGGGCATTCTTTCCATCTTCTTTTCCTGGATCACAACAAACTATGGCTAATATTGAGAAGAATGGGAATTCCAGAGGAGTTCATTGTGCTTATGTGAAATCTACACAAAGATCAAGAAAATGTCCAAACAGAACAAGGGAACACTGTATAGATCAAAATTAAATTGAAAACTAGAAAAACGTTATTCAAAAAATTCAAAGTAGACCTATGGATGAACAATCTGTGTTCATAAATCAGAAGACAATGTTGTTAAGATGTCAATACTACCTAAAGCAAATCCATAAATTTAATGCAATTATCAGTAAAATTCCAATAACCTTCTTTGCAAAAAGCCAATTCTCAGAGTTATATGCAATTACCAGGGACTCCAAATAACAAAAGCAGCTTTGGGGGAAACTAAAACAGTCATACAGTAGAAGGGCTCACAGACTAACTCTGAAATATAGGGTAAAACCAGAGTTATTAGAGCAGTCTGGTACATACAGATCAATGAGGGACCAGTCCTCAGAGAAGGCTATTATGCTTGGAAGGGCGGAAGGTCAGTACAGAAAAGGAAGACCCTGGATGAGATGGATTGACCCAGTGACTGCTACAATGTGGGCAGGTGTGTCAGAGACAGTGAGATTGGCTCATAACAGGGCAAGGTTCAGAGCTATTGTTCATAAAGTCACCATGAGTCACACTTGACATGACAACACATAACAACAGCACAGACCAATAAGAGTCAAAGAATAAATATGTACATCTATGGTCAAGAGATTTTTTAAAACAGGAGTTCTTAAGTTCATCTAATCAGGAAAAAGTGGTGTTGTTGTTATGTGTCATTATGTCAACTGTAACTCATAGTGATTCTATGAACAGATCTGAACTTTGCTCTATCTTGCACCATCCCCACCATCTGATACACGCAAGGCCATTGTTACAGTCACTGTGTCAACCATCGTGAGGGTCTTCCTCTCTTTCTCTGACCCTTCACCTTTCCCAGAATGTTTCCTCCCAAATCCACAAATCCACTGGCCCCTCCTGACAACATGACCAATATGTGTGAGACCAAGTTTTACCATCCTTGTCTCTAAGGAGCCCCTGGTTGCACTTACTCAAAGATAGACTTGTTCTTTCGGCAGTCCATGGGCTACTCTTCTCCAATGTCATCATTCAAAGACGTCAACTCTTCTATCATCTTTAGTCATTGTTCATTGTTTAGATGTTTCAGTGTTTGAAAAAACCAGGGTTTGAATCAGGCACATCTTAGTCTTTAAAGTGACATCAATACACTGTGAAGAGGTCGTTAACAGAAGATTTCCCCAACACAACATGTCTTTGGTTTTTTGACTGCTGCTACAATGGGTGTTGGTGGTGGATTCAAGTAAAATGAAATTATTAACAACTTCAATCATTTCTCCAAAAATGTTGCTTATTGGTACAATGGTGAGAATTTTTGTTTTCTTGATGTTGGCATAAAATGCCTATTTTTTTTTTGTTAGAAACATTTCTTTTTATATAATCTATCATAAATAATTTAGTAGAGGTTCTGCTAAGAATGTATTTGTGATAGAGTTGTGAAATTAGAATGTGATACCATTCTTCAATTTGTCACTGCTGGCATAATAGATATGACTGACTGATTCAAAATGGCCTGTACCAGCTCATTTCAGCTCACTAACGACTAGAATGTTCATCTTCATGCATTCTACTTAGTTTCTGACAGCTTCCAATTTTCCTAGATTCATACTTTGTACATTCCATGTTCTAATTCTTAATGGGTGTATGTAGCTGATTCTCCTCATTTTCTAGTGCCTTCCAATCTAAGATGCTCTACTTCCATTACTCTATACAACAATGTTCCTATGTTAATTCATAGGGTTTTCAAGACCTGTTATTTCAGAAGTGGATGGCCAGTTCTGCTTCTTAGTCCATCTAAATCTGGAAGCTCATTGAAACCTGTTCACCATGGGTGAACTGGCATCTACAAAGTCAGTGGCTTAGCTTCTAGTATCACAGCAACATATAAGTCACCTTGTTGTTGTGTGTACTGTCGAGCCAGTTCTGACTGCTGGAGGGTTTTCAGAGACAGTTAATTGGAGATTGTCCATCTTTCTCCTGTGAAGCAGCTGGTAGATGCGAACAGTGTGCCTTCAGGATTGCAGCGCAGCTTCTTACCACTAGGCCACAGACAAGTACTATACCCATAAGACCAAACTATCAAAGAAGTAAACAAAAAGTAGCAAACATGCATGCAATGGGAAACAGAAAACAATCTGTCTGTTCAGGGATGACATATCTCCCAATCAAAAGACGGGAGTTAGGAAGCTCAGTCAGGTCAGTTTCTGTTCTTCTGACTGGTGACTGAGACCTCAAAATGTGAGCCAGGCTACAAGTAGAATCTGTTCTGGTCTAGAGTGTGTGAAGCATATATCAAGGGGTAGGAGCCTCAATGTGGGGCAGAGTTTTAGCTGGCCTCAGAGGAGCCTTGGCTAATCTACCTGGCTAGAGATGGTGCCTTTGCCACTCTAGTGGATGAGTGCAGGCAAGTTACCCAGTGAGAAATGGTGGTGTACAATCACTGCCAATCGATGGCCTGTGAATATGACATGTCCTAGTATGGGCAAATGTGGCAATGTAGAACATTGGGTAAGGGTATCCAGTAAGAGGGCAGGGCCTCAGTCAGAGGAGGTGCCCCCACTAATCCAGGGGATGATTCCAAACCAGGTGTTGCAGTTTGCCAGCTCCAGAAAGAACACACGGAGAGCTTCTGACTGCAGATATGAGACGGAGTTAGCATGGCCTGAGGTAGGGAAGAATGTTGTCGCTGCTGCTACGTGCTGTCAGTCAGCTGATCCTCCAGCAGGTTTTCAGAGGCAGGAAATCACATGGGAGGAGATTGTCCATCTTTTCTTAGAACACTTGATGGATGTAAATAGTGTGTCTTTGGTTTGGCAGGGCAATTCCTTATTCACTAGGCTGACAGAGTTCAGAGGAAAGAAGAGTCTCTTTAATTAATGATGCTGGGACAACTGGATTTGCACAAGCAAGAGAATGAACTTGAACTCATATATTATATATGACATAGCCACTAATGAACTTTGTAATTTACAAATTTACCTATTATAGATATCTCATATAAGTTGGATCATATGATATTTGTCCCTTAGTAAATGACTATTTTAACTCAAAAATAGTATCTTCAAGTTCATTCACTTTGTAGCATGTGAACTTCATTTCTCTTCATGGTTGAGTGACATTCCATTGTATATATGTACCACACTTGCTTATCTAGTCATGTGTAAGTAAGCATTTAGGTTATCTCCACAAAGGCGTATTTTAACATATACAACCCAATCACATTTAAATGTATTAAAAATACATACATTTAAAAAATCTCTACTTTGCATACAAAAATACATACATTAAATACAAGAGCACAGTTGTCTGAGAGGATAGATGGCTAGGAGCAGGGAAAATAAGTACAAAAGGGACACAAGATAAACATAAATAAAACAAGCAAAGGCCTTGTATGAATCAACTATAATACAGTCACCTAAATGAAGGCATTTGGTTAAATCAACCTTGTGAATATGAAACCCCCAAAATAGTAAAATGTTGCCACCTTATTTTTTTAAAAAAGTTCTTCAGATTCAGGTCTCACAATTCATTACCACTGAGTTGGTTCCGACACAGTGACACTTCATCAGACTTCTGGGACTGTAAATCTTTACAAGAGATTTCCCATCTTTCTCCCATGGTGGATCCAAACTGTTGGCCTTCTGTTAGCAGCCCCATACATTAGGCAATACATAACCAGAGATCTTTTCCAGAGTAAAGTAGTACTAGTTGTTGTTGTTGTTGTTGTTATGTGCCGTCGAGTTGCCTATGACTCATAGCGACTCTGTGTATAACAGCTCTGAGCCTGCCCTGTCTTGAGTCAGTCTCACTGACTCCGACACACCTATCCCCACTGGCCAAGTTACTATATCAATCTATCTCATTCCCGGGTCTTCCTCTCTTGTACTGTCCCTCTACCCTTCTGATCACGATGTCCATGATAGATGGAGAAGAGACTGAGGTTGCTAACACTCCACAATCCACACTGTTGGCACCAGCAGTCAGAAAATCAGAAGATGAATTGTGCTGGGAAAATCTGCTGTCAGGAACCTCTGCAGAGTACTGAAGAGCAACGATGTCAATCCAGAGATTAAGGTGCACCTGATCCAGGCCATGGTCTTTGCAATTACTTGCTATGAATCAGACAGCAGGACAATGACTAAGGATTACAGAAGAATTGATCCTTTGAGTTGTGGTGCTAAAGAAGAGTCTTGAACATACTATGGACCACCACGAAAATAAATGTCTGTCTTTGAGAAGATGAAACCAAGTTTCTCCTCGGAGGCTAGGATTTTGAAGCTCCATCTCACATACTTTGGGCACATGGACAGGAAGGATCGATCAGTCCTTGGAGAGTTAAACAGTATTGCTTTAATTATCTTAGGTTATTGAGAACAGAGTAGTCTTCTTGTTGTTGTTATGTGCCATTGAGTTGCCTGTGATTCACAGCAACCCTAAGTACAACAGCTCTGAACCTTGTTCTATCCCCTCCATTATCCCAGTCACTGAGTAGTTAATCCATCTTATCCAGGGTCTTCCTTTCTTGCGCTGTCCCTTCATCTTTCCAAGTATGATGTCCCTCTCCAAGCACTGGTCCCTCCTGGCAACATGCCCAAAGTATGTGAGATGAAGTCTCAAAAGTCTTGCCTCCAAGGAGCAGCCTGGTTTCTCCCTGTCCAGGACAGACTTATCTGTTCTCTTGGCAGTCTACTCAAAGGCATTGACCCTTCTTCTATTATCCTTAGTCATTGTCTCAGATGCATAACAAGTAATTACAAAGATCATGGCTTGGATCAGCACACCTTAGTCTCTAGACTGACGTCATTGCTCTTTAATACTCTGGAGAGGCCCCTAAAAGCAGATTTCCCCAGAGCAACTCATCTTCTGATTTCCTGGCTGCTGGAACGAAAAATGTTGATTGTGGAACCAAGGAAGCTGAAGCTGTTAACAATTTCAATCTCTTCTCCATCTATCATGATGCTGCCAAATGGCCCAGTGGTGAGAATCTTTGTTTTCCTGATGTTGAGCTTCAACTCATATTGATGGCTGCAGTCTTTGACCTTCTGCAGTGCACATCTCAGGTCCTCCTCAGTTTAAAAAAGTAGTATTAATATTAAAAGCATAACACTTCTTGAGTGTTATGTGTCACATATCATCCTAAGTACTTTCATTAATCTATTCAGTGATATATACAAAATCCAAAACAAACAAGCAAACCCACTGACATTGAGTTGATTCTGACTCAAAGCAATCCTAGAGAACAGAACAGAATTACTACTTGGGATTTCCAAGGCTATAAATCCTTATGGAACCAGAGGACTACATCTTCATTTCCCCATGGAGTGACTGGTGGGTCCCAACGACCAACCTGTGGGTTGGCAGTCAAGCAAGTAACCACTTGCACCACTCAAAACCCACTGCCATTGAGTTGATTGTCACTAATAGTGACCTGTAGAAGAGACTAACTCTAGAGTTTCCAAGACTATAAATTTTTATTGACATAGATAATTTTGTCTTTCTCCCATGGAGCAGCTGGTGATTTCAAACCACAGACTTCCCCCCCACCCGCCCCCTCCCCAAGTAATTATATATTTTTTTCAGATGAGGAATTGAGTAGAGGATTGTGAAATGATTTTTTTAAAGTTAATTGGTTTTCCATTCAACCACCCATACATATTTTATGACATTAATTACAGTAGACATAATGTCTACTCTTCCCACTTCATCCCTGTGATTCCTGCTTCCATTCATCCTCCTATCCAACTCCTTCTTGGGTTTTTAGTTTTATCCATGGGCAAATGCTACCATTTTGGTTTTATGTGGTTATTTATAAAACCAAAATGGGAGTAAGTATCTCCCCGGTATTACTGGTATTATTTCCTCTTGTAGAAACAATAATACCACAGAGATATTATTTTGTCTATTATTTGGTTGCAAGTTGAACCATGAGATGATTTTTGCTGTCTGAAGTGCCTAAAGGCTATATAGTCTTGGAGGTTCCACCAATCCCTATCAGACCAGTAAGCCTGGGCATTTTTATGTTTTTAAAATTTTTTTCTATATCTTTCACCCATTCTATATAGGACATTCTGCTATGATCCCTTTCAGAGTGGCAGCAGTGGAAGCTGGGCACTGCCTAGTTTTCCTGGTATCAAGATTGTAGAGGTGTGCGTGTCCCATTAGTCTTTCAGACTACGTGTTCCTATGCATCTTTACTCTTCTTCCCTCGTCTTTGCTGCAGTCAAGGAGAGACCAATAGTTGTACATGGTTTCTCACCAACCTTTAATATTCCAGTCAAAATAGGATGGAGAACCTTGTCTTTGTGGACAACTTTAGGATAATCAGCTGTTGCTGACACTACGATCTCAAGGCCAACGACCAGCAACTCATTCCCTCAAGGTGATGAGCTGTGTATTATAATGCACACTAATATGAATGCAGAAGTATCTGCCAGACCTATGTATGGTAACCGGTGTACACAGTTAATTTTTAATAACAACACTGTGTTTTCAGACTGCACTGCATTTAGACTAGCAGTGCCCAACAAAGCTGAAGATTTCCCTGTAGTCAAAGCAGAGGCATCACATGGCTGTTGGTGGACCTAATTTAAGTCAAAAGAACCTGAACTGTAGCAGTCAGTACCACACTTATGTGGCACCTTAGTTTCTGCAAAAAGAAAAAGAAAATAAAGGGTAGCATGAAATGGATATTTCTTATTTAAATTTTATTGGTGCTATTTGTTTTAGATTTGTAAGCTTGCTTCATCTTTGTCATTGCATAAGAAAGACTTTGTACCTGGTTTTATTTATTAATAGAAATATTTTGTACATATTAGTTAATACATATTTGTAAAATGCATAGCTATTTCTGAAGTATACTGTATATATACTTATATACATGTTACATAATTTACAGGAGATCTCAGAGATTTTTTTTTCTCCCCCTTTAGAAGATGTTCCTCCATTACTGCAGTTTGAGAAATACTGTCTATTCTGGCTAAGAAGAGGGAGGGTAAATGTAAGATGTACTTTCAAAAAGCCTTCTTATGGGTGAAGCAAATGGTTTGTGCTTAGTTGGTCAGTACCCAAAAGTTAGTGGTTCACTCAATGCACCCAGGGAATAAATAAGCCTGAAAATCGGCTCCCATAAAGATTATAGCCAAGAAAACCCCATGAAGCAGTTAAACTCTGTAATCCATTGAGTATCGTAAGTTGTAATCAACAGCAAAAACAAAATAAAAAACAATAAAACCCTCCCAGGTCAATACTCCTATAGCAATGGATCATTCTAAACTAGAGTTTCAAAAATGGGAAATTGAGGTCCAATGAAAGCAAGTAGCAGGGCAGGGTCATAGAAGGACACAGAAAGCAAGATTCCTGCCCCTTGGACCAGAGCTTGAACCTCAGGCAGGTGGGATATTCTACTTACCATAGTGCCAGTGAATATGCTCACTGCAGAGGCGGACTTGGTCCCGTGGATCCTGAGGAGAGGTGCACAGAGCGCCATGCTGAGGTCACTGAGGCTTGGAGTGTTTAAGTTGGGTACAGAGATGCACTGCCTCGCAGACAGTACAGGCTTCGGGAGAGCAGGGTCAGCCTCCGGCTTTGGCGCCTCCTGCTTGAGGCTGCGGTCTGTCTCATTTTCCTTTGCATCGTTGGCACTCAAGAGCAAGTCAGGTGTGCAGGACATTAATGCCAATGGCTGAGGAAGAGGAAATCAAACACACAACCCTTGGGAACCCAGTTCTGTCCGCTTCTGGATTCATCTGCACCCAAGTGTAGGTGCTAAGGAGATGAGGAGAAGGAAAACAACTGGTACCAACAACTCTAATCTGGGGTTCTAAGAGCCCATAAGGGTTCAAGGATGGGCTTATGGGATTGCCTATTAGCTGCCTGAACTTATAGTTCAAAATTGTGCATTTATGTACTTTATGGCAAGAAATTCCATAGCTTTAATCAGTTCCTCAAAGAGTCTGTGACCTTAATGAGGTCAATAAACAAACTAATTTCATCTCTTTGAGGTGAGTATTGAGGAAAAGGAGATGGCTTGAAAAGTCAGTTGAATCCGTCCATTGAGCTCAAAGAGAGAGCCAGGTAGAGAAGAAAGAAATGAAAGAGTTAGATCATGGAGGTAAGTTACTCTCGAGGACAACTGGAGCATCCTCACAGTCTAGATGGCTGTTGCAATTGGACCACATGAAGCCAGTTACCCTTGGGTGATGCTCTGAGAGTCTTAGAGAAGCTTTGTGAGCAGCCTGCTCTCTTAGCTGCGCCCTGATCTAAGAGCATTAGTTCAGCCTAAGTCAGAGCCAGGCCTGTAATCCACCCACTCCCTAAATGGATATCCTGCTCAACCTTCCTGAATGCTCTTGCTGCTTCTACTTAGATTGGAAGAGGTGAGAAGGATAGACCTCTACTGCCTGCATCGAAGCGTCCTCAGACAGACTTGGGGCTCTGTGCACCCACTGGGCTTGCCCTCCTGTTGCCCAGACCTGTGTCCAGACCCGCTCCGGCAGTATGTCTGTGCCCTCAGCAGTGGCCTCCTTGCCATCCCCCCACGGACTGGTCCCAGCCGGGGAAGGGTGCTAGGGATGCTTGTTGCCCTTCTACGTGGGTTTACTTGTTTAGGGGGGCAGGCAGTGTCTTTGAGCTGCTGTTGCTGCTGCTGCTGCTGCTGCTGCTGTTTCTGCCGCAACTTCCTCATGGGCTTGTCCCGAACTTGTTCGCCAGCTGACTCCCCCTGCATCTCTGTTTTCTTCTCTTTTGGTCGTAAGGGTTTGTTCTCTTGCTTTAGTCTCAGCTCCTGGATCAGCTGCCTGGCCATTGAAGAAGAAAGGGGAACGTCATGTGTGTTAGGAATGGGCTGTGAAGCCAGGGATTCTCCCTGCAAGATGGACACAGTGGAGCAGAGAGAAGGAAGAAGCTCTCAAATGCTCTCCCTTCCTTCCCACGGCGTGTCTAAAGGAGCTCATGACTGAAGAGCAAAGAGCACAGAGTAAAGCTGTCCTTTTGAACATGCCATTCTCAGTGTGGGCAGCAGCATCCAAGGAGAGATGTGGAGTAAGGGGGTTACACACCCCTCTGTTATACCACCAGTCATCTACCCACTTCCCAGAAGGCCAGTGCTTGTACATTCAGTACAGGCAAGAGGATCAGGTAGGAATTTAAGGGAAGGGCTCTATGGCTCCCATGCTGGCCAATTTCATATGCTGGCTTCTCCAGCCAGAGGCTTCTGGGAGTGGACAAAGGTAGTATGAAGTTGTTAAAATATCACATGTCAGAGGACAGGGGTTTTAGTCCTTCTTTGGTTATCAGTTTGCTATGTGATGACTTCTCTGGGTTTCCTGTCCATAAAATGAAGTGACCAGGTAGAGCCTGGACTGAGTGGCATGAATCTCTTTCAACTCTTAGAAGTTACTCATACAGGAATTTATAAAGCAACTCTGAAAGGCGGGCATTATGGAGAGGAGTTGGGGTATCTTCACTCTGTTTCAGATTAATTTCTAGTAGTAACCACCATCTACTTAACATTTGCACCAGAGTGTCTTAAAATTCCTGGCTCTTATTGAGACAGAGCATACATTCCTCTGGCAACTTCAAGGCTAGGGACTGAAGCTCAGAGGTCCCTCTCCTCCCTATTATCCCAAGCCTATCACGCAGAAGGTGTCCTCAGGACACTCCACCCCAACTAACCCCAGGGGCCTTCCTACCGGGTGTATAGCTCTCGAGCCCTGGAAGCAACAGTATTCTGGAAGAGGGAGTTGTTGTTCTGAAAGAATTTCTCATACTTCTCCGAATTCAGAGTGGGATAAATCAGTCTAAATCCTCCATGGTTTTCCTTCTCATACTTTTCAGTTTTAGCTAACCAAACAGCCTGGAAACCCTTGACTTCCTCAATCCTGTTGAAAAACAGAACATAAAGTGGCAATTAGTCTTCTTGAGACAAAGCTTGGGGGATTATGATACTTGGAAGGACATGTTCCAAACTGGAATGGCATCTAGGGCCATTCAGCAGTCTTGCACACAACAGTGGTCAATAGTTATTTGTTCTATAAGTGCACGGCTGTTTCCCTTCAAAGTAAAGTCTCACTCCCAAGACAGCCATTGTCATGATGCACCAAGAGCTGGTTAAAAGGGTCTTTCTTCCTTCCTACCTTCAGGCAGAAGGCTTCCTGGCAGAATGAGAAGTCTCTCAACACTTATTAGTAGAGCTAGAGTTTTAAAACAGTTCTTGAGTAAGGCAGAGGCCTTGTCAACCCAGGAGTCCTGAAGGGCCAAGGGGCCAAGGAACTTGGATCAGAAGCTGAAGAGACAAGGACATTTTCACAGGGCTGATAGAGAGAGAAAGAATTCCCCGAGAGTTGAAGTTGGACTTCCAGTCTCCTAAACTGTGAGAGCCTCACAAAGATCCTCACCTCTGGACCAACAGACAACATGATAGATGGAGAAAAGTTTGAGGTTATCAATGAATCATCTTAGTGGGATCCACAATCCATTCCCTTGGTACCAGTAGTTAAGAAATCAAAAGATGGGTTGCACTAGAGCCATGAAGGCAGTTAAAAGATTAAGGCATGCCCAATTCAATTCATGGTCTTTTCAATTACTTGCTATGCATCTAAAATATGGGCAATGAGTAAAGATGACAGACAAGAGTCGATGCTTTTGAGTTATGGTGTTGGAGAACAGTACTGACTATCCCATGGAATATCAAAAGAACAAACAAGTCTGTCTTGAAGGAAATGCAACCAGGTTATTCCTTAGAGGCAAAGACCATGGAACTTGTGTCATATACTTTGGGCATGTGGTTGAGAGGGGACAGTCCTTGGGAAAAAGGCATCATGTTGGGAATGATGGAGGGCCATCCAAACAGAAGACCCTTAATAAGATGCCTTGACACAGTGACGGTATCAATGGGCTCAAGTATATCAGGAATGGTGAGGACGGCAGAGGACAGGACAAGGTTCAGCTCTCTTGTTGATAGGGTCTCTATAAGTTGTAGTCAATTTGAAGCATTTAACAACAAACAGTGTGGAAAAAATCCATTTCCGCCTGTTAAAGCCACCCACTTGGGCTATTTCTGTCACAGCAGCACTAGACAGCCAAGAGACTATCAACTCCTCAAATTCTCTCCTGTTACAAGTAAAACCCATCTCCCCAAGGGTTTCATTCTGTTGAAGCTTACTATTACTACCTTCCCATTCGCAACCCTGATTACTCTTCTTTGGATAATGGCAGCTTGTGTACAGCTAAATCAGAGGGCCTCTTGGATAAGCTTGCGGGGGAAAGATGTGCCAATCTGCTTCCATAAAGATCTACAGCTTTGGAACAGTAAATCTCTATGGGACAGTTGTGCTTTGTTGTATAGGGTGCTATAGGGTTACTCTGTGTAGGATTTTACTTGATGACAATGGGTTTAATTTGCTTGGTGAGTATTTATGAGTTATGAGTATCTCATTCTTTCTCACAGTCCTCTGGGGAGATGGAGGTCAAATAAGGACGAATGATAAGCCCCTTTTAACAGCAGAGGGGGGAAAAATCACTGAGACAGCCAGGACCATGTAATGAGGAGGGCACTGGGATGAGGCTTGGGTTGCTTCTTTTAGTTATTGTTAGGTGCCATTGAATTGAGTCCAATTCATAGTGACAATAGTAAAACAGAACAAAGCCCATTCTAATCCTGCATCAGCCTCCTGACGTGTGCTTGTTAAAGTTAAGTTCATTGTTGCGGGCCCACAGCATTGAGGACCTTCGTCTCTTTGGCTGATCTTCCTTCCATTATTCCAATCATGACGTCTTTTTCCAAGACCTGGATCTAGCTAATGGGAACTTGCCCACAGCAAGTGAGACAAAATCTCACCATCCTTGCCACGAAGGAGTGCTCTGGTTACACTCTTTCTAATACAGATTTGTTCATTCTTTTGGCTGTCCGTGGTGTTTTCAATATTTATCAGCACCACAATCCAAATGCATTTATTCTTCTATCTTCTTTATTCATTGCCTAACTTTCACATGCATATGAAGCAACTGAAAATACTATGTCTTGGGTCAGGCATGTAAGTCTTTAAAGTGACAGACCTGCTCTTGAGTGCTTCAAAGAGGTCGGTAGCAGGTACTTGCCCAATGCAGTATGTCTTTTGATGTATTAACAATTGTTTCCGTGAGTACTGATTATGGATCCAAGGAAAAATTCTCAGCAACTTCTCTCTTTTCTTCATTTATCATCATGTGGTTTATTGGTCCAGCTGTGAGGATTTTGTTTTCTTATGTTGAGGTGTAATCGATAATGAAGGTCTTTGAGATTTTTCTCCATGTAGTGTTTCAAGTTCTCCTCTACACTTTCAGTAAGCAAAATTATGCCATCTGTATAACACAAGCTGTTGATGAGTCCTCCTCCAACCGTGAAGCCACATTCTTCTTCACACAGTCTAGCTTCTGGGATTATTTGTTCAGCATACATATTGAATTGATGACATGATGAAAGGATACAATGCTGACACATCTCTGTCTTGATTTAAATCATGTAGTAACCCCTTGGTTTGCTCAAATGACGGCTTCTTGGTTCATATAGAGCCCACCACGTGGTGAATCCAGACTGGTAACCTTTCAATTAGTAGTTGAGTGTAAACCATATGTGCCACTTATGGAGCTAGAGGGACATGCTAACAGTAAAACGGAAGAGAGAAGACAAATTTTTCTTTTAATAAAAAACCCCTCAAGAAATGGACTTATTTTTTCACTGTTGTTATATGCCATTGAGTCACCTGTGACCCTATGTACAGCAGCTCTGGACCCTGCCCTGTCCTGAGCCAGTCTCACTGATTCAAACACACCAGTCCCCATTGCCCCAGTCATGGTGTCAATCCATCTCATCCGGGGTCTTCCTCTCCTGCGCTGTCCCTCCACCCTTAAGAGCATGATGTCCTTCTCCAAGCACCAGTCCGTTCTGGCCACATGTCCAAATTATATAAGGCAGAGCTTCAAAATCCTAGGCTCCAAGGAGAAACTTGGTTTTGTCTTCTCCAAGACAGACCCATTTGTTTTCTTGGCAGTCCATGGTGTGTTCAAGACTCTACTCCAGCACCACAATTTGAAGCATCAATTCTTCTTCTATTTTCTATATATATTATTAATCTATATATTGTACACCACAACAAGATAAAGGCAAATAATCCAATAGAAAAATGGGCACAGGATATGAATAGACACTACACCAAAGATGACATTCAGATGGCTAACAAGCACATGAAGAAATATTCAAAATACCTAGCTCTAAGAGAGATGTAAATCAAAACAACTATGAGATATCGTCTCACACCAATTAGAATAGCAAAATTTAACAGAACAGCAAGCAACAAATGCTGGCGAGGTTGTGCAGAAACTGGAACCCTTAGTCACCATTGGTAGGAGTGTAAAATGGTACAACCACTGTGGAACGCGGTATGGCACTTTCTCAAAAAGTTGCAAATTGAGATACTATTTGATCCAGCAATTCCACTCATGGGAATATACCCTGAAAAGACCATAACTGACATCCAAGCAGATATATGCACACCCATGTTTATTGCGGCTTGGTTCACAATAGCAAGGAGTTGGAAACAACCTAAGTGTGCCCATCAACAAGTGAATAGATAGAGAAGCTGTGGTATATTCACACAATGGAATACTACGCTGCATTGAAAAACAAGGAACTCATGCAATATTATTCAAAATGGGTGAC